GGCCTAAAAGCCACTGTGACTCGAGTGAAATACATCGCGTGGTGGAACGTCTTTGTGATGTCTGTTCGCCGAAATGAAAAGGATCAGATCCTTTTATTGATGGGGCATGAGTTGGCGAATTCATGGGTTCCACAAAATGAACTCTTAATTGAACTCTTCTCAATTGAACTCTTGGGAAACGAACGATGTGTTTTTTTTGAGACTGTTGTTCTTGGAGGGTCTAACGAATCCCCCAACGGTAATGAGGCGGATAAAGACAAGGCGATACTTTTTGGTACCACCTTTGCGTTTCCGGATGAACAGTTGCCACGGTCAAGTCGATTCATATGGTATTGTGTCGAACAAGGAAAATTAATATCAGAACGACCACAACTACGCCAAATTGGTAGCAAAGATGTTGAAGGGGCACTTCAATGTTGTTGTATTGTTCCAAACTATGTTGGTCGAATAGCCCTTGGAATAAATGGTTGTATAGCGTTGTATAGTTGGAATGCTGCGGATTCTGTTTTTGTGGCCGAGGAAACGATTTGTATCGGTACCATTGTAACACGTGTGTTGCCTATATTTCAAGGGGATGCATCTTACATGGTGGCCTTTGACGCCCGCCATAGTTGCTTTTTTATTCAGGTGGATACTATTCAGGGCAGTCTCGAGATAGTTGCCCGTGACTCCGAGCCGCGGGGAGTTATGGATGGTGCTGTGTTTCAATTGGGCAACATCTACAATATTTGTTTTGGGGATGATTACTACAATTTTTTTTGTCTCTCTCGTGGTGCATCGACTTTGCCGAGTGTCTCAAACGCAACATCGGCTACGGTGTCAAGCGGTAAACTCGAAACAAGTGCACAGTATCATTTGGGAGACATGGTGACAGCAATGCAACTAGGCAGTTTTGCCCCATGTTCTGTTACAAATATTGCTGTTCCTATTCCAACTACACTTATTCCTGGGATTTGCGGCCCCCAAGTCGTTTTTGGAACCTCCCATGGGGCTTTTGGTACGATAACCCCTGTGTCCAATGAAACATATCTTTTCTTAAAGGCTCTGGAGGTTGCTGTCTCATCAGTAGTTCCAGCTTTGGGAGGGTTCGAGCATGTCACGTATCGAGAGGTTCTTCGTGCAGGGCAGGAACGAGGCTATAGTCGCAATGCCTCGTTTGAGAATGCGAACGTCGTGTCATCAGGGGTTTTTGACAAGCATCGAAAACGCTATCTGTCCAGGTGTGTTTGTAGTGGAGATTTGATTGAGTCCTTTTTAACTTTTTCACAAACTATTCAACAGCGAATACTACGCGAGGCCGAAAGTCGCATTAAAAGCTGCTATTTTTCAATGAATTCCTCTCTAGGAGAATTTTTTGAGCACAACGATTTAGACAATAGTTTAGCTGAAAGGAGTGATGCTTGCTTGGATGAGTGCAAGACCATGGGTGACGTAAATGCCCTATTCTCTGAAAGCGGATTGCCTACCTTGCCCCTAACACGAGAGGCGGTTAACGAGTTTCTTCAAAATATGCAGCGGATTCACTAAGAAACATTTTCACGCACGAAAGCGAAATTATTATGATTGTTATTATAATACTTTTTCTTTGTTGTTTTATCCACTTATTATTGTTGTGTTAAATTGTTTTTACCTTTTTTCTTTTCCAACTTCTTTTATGATGTCTTTTCTTTTTTTTTTTTTTGCTCTATAAGTTGTCTTGTCAGATGAAGTACCTTGCCGCTTACGCTCTTGTTGGCCTCTCAGGGGGGACCCCCTCAAAGTCTGCAGTTGAGGCCGTATTGAAGGCTGCCGGTGTCCCTGTCGATCCTTCTCGTGTGGATGCACTTTTTACCGAGTTTGCGGGCAAGGACTTTGATACGGTATGCACTGAAGGCAAATCGAAACTTGTAGGAGGGGTTACACGTCCCAATGCTGCCACCGCTTCTGCACCCACTGCCGCTGCCGCCGCCTCTAGTGGTGCCGCCGCGCCTGCTGCAACTGCGGAAGAGGAGGAGGACGATGACATGGGATTTGGTCTTTTTGACTAAAGACAAATGCTTATTTTATTTTATTTTTGATTTTGTTTCTCTGTTGTCCATGAAGAGGCGCTGGAGTCCTGTGAATAAAATGCTAGAGAGTAAATAAAAGTGGGAACAGTAACTGCTGCACTCAAACGCATGACAAAAAAGGGTACGCCATTGGGTTGGCCTTTTTTTTTTTTTTTCCCTTTTAAGTTTTGTTCTTATGACCCTTCAGACACGTAGAGACAAGTACGATACAAGCCAGCTGACGCTCTCGTCGTTAGTTGCACTTTGCGCGGATTGTTCGAGCTTTTGTTTGGAAAGGACCGCGAGAGTTCTGGACAATCAAAGCCGCGCACCAAAAGGATGGGAAAATCAGTTTGCGGCGGTTGCCAAACAACGTCGACAAGAGGACTGTGAACTTTGCGAACGTTACTGCCATCGGGTTTCATCTGTTTGCCCTGCCTCGAAGGATATCGAACGTTTTGAGGCTTTGGGATATAAGGAGGTAGCAAGAAGGACTTCCTTAGATGGATTACCCACGGTTCAGCAGATGTCTAGGTGCGAGAACGCTGTTTCGGAGTTCTCAAGAGTTCTTTTTTCACTCGCGCACAAGCCTAGTAAGGTGGCATTTGAGGATGTTGACCCGAAAAGTGGCTTGAAAAAAAGTGAGGAAGGTGGTGATGGTGAGCCAACCGAGCTTCATAAAAAGGTACTTAGTGGTGGATCAATAGATGATGCCATCCTGCAGCGTTGGAGCACTGCTAGGAAGGGACGAGCCGAAATGGAGGAGATGGGAGTGCTTCGAAGTGCGGAAGAGACCGCATCGCTCAGGCAGGAACTTGGACGTCAGAGGTCCGAAGAGTACATTAAGACAAGGGGGACGACTCCGAAGTGGTGAGCAAGCACGAAGAAGCACAAACAAGCAAAACACAACAAGAACAACAAGTTTTATTTTATATTTTTTATTTCTCTCTCTCTCTCTTTTTTTTTTTTTTTTTGGTCTTCTCTTCTATATATTGGTAGCAACTCTTTTTTCCTCCCTCTCTTTCTATATATAATTTTTTATTTGTTAGTTTTTCTTTACCATGCAGAGTAAGGTTACGCGAGATGTGCGCATAGTTTTTTTTTTATCGATCGATATGGTAGCCGGATGTGTGGCGGGAAAGACTTATTTACTTCACGTTAAACGGGGAGACAAGATTCACGCGTCGTCGCCTCCGCTCATTGCAGACGATGGAGGAAAGCTTCACGTGAACTTGTCTCGCATCTTTACGTCAACGCTGCAACGACAGAACGATTGGAAGTACAAGAAGAAGCCACTCAAGGTTCGCATTGAAGAGTTGCGCTCCCATTTTGTGACAAGTTTGTCCTACGACTTGAGCAAGAACATTGTTGAAGAAACTTTTCCGGAGAGAAGGGTGATTATCCGTGAACGGGACGGGTTAACAGAGGTTCATTTAAGACTGAGGGGTGTAAAAGAAAGTCTTTATATCCGGCAACAAGATGTTCAAACTGCTTCCAATGCTTCCTCTAGCTCTTACATGCGCGAGCCGAGCACCGCGTCCTTGTTTGGACCCCACGATCCCTCTGAGGAACATATTAATCATTCAACCACTTCATTTTTGGTTGACGATTACTTAAGTGTCATTGATAGTTTGACAGGGACTGCAAGCGAGCAAAGGAGCGAGGATATCCATTCTGAGACGAAAGAAACTCAGGTGGACAAAGAACTCAATAAAATAAATTTTGACAAGTGTGCTTCAGCCCCGGATACATCTTTACACCCGTTAGTTGCACCCATGCATCGAAGGACGGGGGGCGTGCCAAATACAATCAGCAAGGAAAACTTTAAGAATCTTGCTTTTACACGGGTCTCAGATGCGGCTATTTTGAAGGGTAAGGATTTGTCCACTCTTAAGCCTTCTTGGAAGTGGAATATTGCTTTTGAAGACCCCGTTCATGGGGTCATTAGGCAGATTTGTGATGCTGTAAGGTGGTGTGGAGACATTGGTAGGGAGTCTCAAACAGCGAGAGATGCTTCGAATGGAGCTCATTTAGCTCTTGATTTTTATTTAAATCAGGATGGAGAAACCCTGGGTCGCTTTGTTGTTAGTTTTCTGGCTCATGTTGTTGTTGAAGTGTGTCGAGAGACGCGACACATTGGCAACTGGCTTAGCCTTTTAACACACGTTATTTACGGATCCATCCTGTACACAAGACATCAATTTAATCCGTGTGATGTTAAAGGGATGTCTATAAGAATTGCAGATCTCAGGGATTTGGATGTCGATACGTTTACAACACGAGGAGAAGCCATCATACAGGATCTTGCGAGAGATTTGAGTGTTCCTGTTGCAACAGACATGTTTTGGTTTGCTGGTTTGGATTACTGTGCCAGCACACTCGCTTTGCTTTGTATTCACCAAATTCAATGTTTGTGTGACAATTTTGTGACTCTTTTTCCATTTTCAGGAAGAGGTTGCATTTCAATGGAAGAGGGATTGGTTGCAGCAACGGCCATACTTTGCTCACATCTTCATTCACTCTTGTCAACCTTACTTTCTCTGACGGAACAGAAGGAATTAGCTGATATTCGTAACGCTCCTCCACTCTACAGAATAATTCTTGGGGAAATTATCACGATGGTTTTTGATCGTGTGGTAACAGTTATTATTGAGTACATGCACAAAATAGATTGTCTTCCTGATGGCAGTGCGTTTCATATTGCTTTTAAGGCCTTGAAACTCCTCATTTCTTGGGCAAAGGGACATTTTTTGCTTTCCGTGGTCTCTCCAATTCTAATGTCGCTGGTCGTGTATTGTGACTTTGTTCTATTGCCCCAGGGTTTGCTTAAAAATCATGAATATCGCTTGTATCTGGAGAGGTTTCTTCCTTCGTTTGTAGAAGCCAACAATTCGAATGATAAAAAGTCCCGAACGATGATTTCACCATGTTTATCTAGCAATACAAGCGACACTGTTGCGTTTTCTTTTTATTCTATTCTGGTGGAGTTTACAGAAAGGGGATGCAGAGGGACATCTAAAGCTGAGAGGGGCTCTTCTTGGACTCTGGTTGAGGTTTTGAACGGCGACAAGGATGATGCTGCACGGGTTCTCTCAGCTGAGGAGTTGTTTCCCGCAACTGGGTTTAATGGAACGAGGCATAGCTTTTCTGACCCCAGTCTTGTTCTGCCGCTGTTGGCTCAAGAGATAAAGTCCTCTTTCAAATAAGGGCCATGCATGGCGTAAAATAACAAAAATACCGCATTTTCATTTGAAGCAAAGAAACGATTAAATAAACAAACAACAAAAAAAGAGGGGTTAGGCGCTGGACGGGGAGGTTTTGTTTTGTTGAAAGGTGATGTCATTTTGGACTATACAGTGTTTCATGAGGTGGGTAAATGACGCAGCTTTTGAATCCTGCGCCTGTACGTACTCACAAAATAAAATATTCTTGACAACGTTTTTGTGGTTCTCATGGGCTGTATTTACTTTGGAGGAATAGGTGGAACATCTTGAGAAAATGAATTTCTCCGTTCGCAAATTAGGGAAACAAATGAGGAAAAGCATTTTAAAGAAGAAATAATTGTTGCGAAGACTAGGGAAGGCTAACCATAAGAACTCCAGCAGCTTGTGTGTACATGTTTATATACTTTTTATTGGCCTTTTTCATAAGGGGGTGTCGAAGGATGCTGTTTTTATTTGTTTTTAACACTTGAGGCTTTGCTTCTTCTCATTGTCTTTTGATTGCCGAGTAAATGATGTTTTTTTTTTTTTTTTTGGTGGGAAAAAGTCTTTCGCCATGTGTGTACATCATTAGACTTGTTTCTGTATCTGCAGACACGCTACATTTGGGTGATGGTGAATGACTGGAATAACTGCTGCAGTGGCAACGATGATTGCATGGCCCAGTGTAGAATGCTACGCTGCTTATTGTTTTGCAATGCCCTGCTTTATTTAGTTTTACTTCATTTCTCGACATATTTCCTCTTCTCTCCACTTCTTTAACACACACACGAGGAAAGAAGGAAGACAAGCGATAAACGCTACTGTGAAGTTGGAAGGCTCTGAAAGGACCAACAACAGCACACACACCGCCCACACACACATATTTGTATGCTCTCACGTGTTGCTGCAGTCATGGCACCCCGCACACACAAACAGTTGTCGCCGCGTGACCGGATCCAGCGGAAGGAGGAGGGAAGGAAGAGAAAGTGAGCCGCAGAGGCCCAACATGTCCCGGCATGTGTTTACTTCCGCGGTGCTTTTCCTAGTCGTGATGTTGTGCTGTGGATTTGGATCTGCTAACGCGGAAGGGCAGCAGTCAGGGGACGTGCAAATGCTTCAACCGGTTGACATCTATGTGCCGATGAAGACGCAGGTGGAACCAAAAAAGTGGTTCTGGCAAAAGTGGAATGAGGGATTCATTTGCTGCGACTTCTCTTGTCCGTGCTGGTGGAGTGATGATTGCATTTGCTGAAGGTCACACCGAGTATAACGGTTCCCACTATAGATTGAATGTGCGTCCCTCTGATATTGTGGCGGGGTACATCAACGCCGCGGAGACGTGGCCGTTAATTGCCGCCGAGAACAATAAGGATAAATGGATGGTACGCACACTGTTTAGTACAGTGAATGAAGAGGATCTTTTTGGGGTTGCGTGCAACCCCACAGCGATTGCAAAGGAAAATAAAGTGTTTCTACTTGTGGGGAGCTATAATATGTGGAAAAAATGATGGTTATTAGAATACGGTTGGCTGGGATATTCAACTTGTTGTGGGTGATGCCACGCACTCCAATGACGGCGTGCAAAGTACATTGATCGACTGGGTCGAATCCAAGTCACCTTCACGGCAGATTCCCCAAAGGATTAAAAGCAACCTGTCGGATCTTGGGGTGGTGGTAGTTCAGGCATTGTGATGGAGGATGGCACAATTGTGTTTACCCTGAGGGCGAGGAATGGGGAAAATCAACCTTTCTCCAGGATCACTTATTCGACGGACAACGTCAATACCTGGGTGTTCCCAGAGGGCATTTCTCCTGCGGAATGCTTTAACCCCCGCATCGCCGAATGAAATAGGAGACAAATTTTCGTGATCGTTCAGTGTAAAGATGGCCAGAGTTTGTTTGATTCGCATGACATGGGGGCAACGTGGACGGAGGCTATTGGGACACTCTCAGGCCTGTGGACCAATTCACGATTGGGAGTCTTTCGGGAAGACAATTTGCCTGTGGAAGCCCCTATCACCGCGAACATTGAGGGAGTGAAGGTGATGCTGTACACTTAGAAAAGGGTACTTTTCGGGGGAGAAAAGGGCCAATGTGCTCCATCTTTGGGTCACGGACCATAACCGCACGTTTTCTGTTGGACCCGTTGCCATGGATAATAACTTGGAACTTTTCCACGCCCTGCTGTACTCGGGTGGTGCGTTGCACATTTTACAGGATGGGATTATTAAAACAAGCAACACCATTTCACTTGTCCCACTAACAGAGGGGCTACAGATGATCAATTACGTCTTGAAGAGTTGGGCACAGCTGGATTCCTCCTTCTCTGAGTCGTTTACACCCACGGCGGGTCTGGTTGTTTTCCTGTCCAACGCATCGTCCGGTGGTGACACGTGGAGCGACGATTACCTTTGCGTGAATGCAATTGTGACGAAGAATGCAATGAAGGTCAAAAATGGGTTTGAATTCACGGGGCTTGGGTCCGGGGCAGTATGGCTCGTGAGCAGCCGGGAGCATAATGGGCCGCATACCTTTGTAAGCTGTGATTTCACTATTGTGGCGAGGGTGATGATCCAAAATTTTTCGAAGTTGAGCACTCCTCTACCGGGCGCGGGTCTGGATGCACCCGTCAGCACGAACTTCATTGGGCTGTCGCACGACGCGGACAGTAGGTGGGAGACAGTGTTTTACGGCAATAAAAAGAGCATCGGGCAGCACTTGGGAGCCGTGGAAAGAATACCAGGTGGCGCTCATGCTGCCGGACGGCCACAGGGGATTTGTGTACGTGAGTGCTGAGCTTGTGGGGAGCTATGCGAAGATACGAACACCTGAGACGCGGGGACTGGAGTCTCATTCTTCTAAATTGGGGGCGACGAGGGAGGCAGCGGCAGCAGTGCGACGGTGACGAACTTCTTTCTGTACAACCGCTCACTGGGTGACGATGAACTAAAAATGGTCAGGAAAAGCGAAGGCTCCGTGCGTGGGGGCGTGTTGCGGGTGCTGCTGCTGCTGCTGCTGGGGCTGTGCGGCCCTCTACGGGGCGTAACGCGGCGGGACCCCTGCCTCCAGCGGGAGCAATATGTACCTCTCCACGCACCCTCTGGAATAATTGACTTTTTGCTTGGATATACCTTTTATTTTTTATATTTTATTCTTGGCTTGAATATCCCTTTTCCGCCTGTGCAATTATTTATTTAAAAGCATGCTCTTCCTCCCGGGAATGCACCGCGGGGTATTTGTTTTTGCTTTATTCTACATGCTCGTTTTTTTTTTATGGTGGAATATTTTGAGAATGGCGGGATGTCTTTAATGTTTCTGTCGGCCGACGACACGTGCAGTCGGTATTGAGCTCCACGACGATGGTGCGGTGAAGAAGGGATTTAAGATGTGCAGCAACGCACTGAACCTCCGAATGAAATGTGGGTGTTGTGTGGACACCAGGAGGCTGAACGGCTGACGCAAATATATTTTTACTTTTGCAGGAAGAATATACACGTGTTTTTCGTTTTTCCGCATCACTGTGGTATTTTTCCATTTTTTTTGTGAGCGTGAAAAACTTCTTCAAGGGGACTCCTTTTGCGTTTTATTTCTTTTGTTTTTTTAAGTTTTTATTTTTTGTTTCTGCAAGCGTATTGTGGGTTGCCGTAGGTTGGGCTGCCGTGCCATTTTGAGCTTTGGCTGCCTTCTTTCTTTTCTCTTCGTCTGTCCTGCACCTCCGCTGCGTGTGTTTTTTTCACGTGCGCGGCTCTTTTTTTTGCTTTGCGTGTCTGCAGACACACACACAGCCGCACGGCGTACATGTTGCAGTGCAGCTTGATGTTTCTCGTGCACTCGGTGCTGGCAGCTGCTGCATTCCGCGGAAATGAAAAAGAAAAATACATTGAGAATGCGTCGCGGCTCTAATCCCCTGTGAGAATGCTGCACGGCGTGTGGCGGTATTGTTCTGAAATGCCGAACCATCACGCACGAGGACGTGGCACGGAGTGGAAGACTTCTTTTTTGTTTTGTGTCTGCTGCTGTGGGTGTGGGCGCGGCCGCGTCGGACTTGTCGGCACGATGGCCGCAGCGTGTGATCGTCACTCTGTTCTCCCGAGATATGCTACGACGCTTTCACTTGTGTGTTGTTTCGGGGACAATGTGCTGGCAGCTGTGCGGTTGCCGAATGAAGGGAGAAGAGTGGAGGGAATTGCGTGAGCGCCGTGGTCAAGAGTCGCGTTGGGTGTCTCGCCGCGGAGGGCCTTGCCCACCCAACGCAGCACCGCTCATGTCGGGCATCTTCTCTATCACACTGCAGCATCTTAGTCGACGCCAGCAACACACAGCGAGGCAGCGGATGCCGCCACCGCCACGAGTGCGACCGGGAGGGGACACGTCTGCTGTTGCGTTTCGAGGGGACAATCCGTGTGGCACAGCGGCGTGCCTAAAAACTTCTCGCGGGGTCCGCACACGACAGCGGGCAGTGGCCGCGGAGTGTTTGCGTCATGAAGGACGCTGCGGTGGAGTCCCGCTTCCCTCCAGGCGGACGGAATTTTGAGTTTCTTCTTTTTCCCACCCAGGCGGATGGCTGCGCGATGACACCACAACGAGGCAGTTGCTTTCACAGTGGAGGGGCAACATCTGTGGTGCC